TATATATATATGTTGTCCTCCCTTACCCCTAGGAATCATTGTTAGCCCCTTGTGAATATGTAACTGTAAATCGCTCAGAGCCAGCACCAGCAGGATTGAGCGATTAATAAATTGAAATATTATTATTATTATTACTATCATTACTATTATTATTACTATCATTACTATTATTATTACTATCATTACTATTATTATTACTATCATTACTATTATTATTACTATCATTACTATTATTATTACTATCATTACTATTATTATTACTATCATTACTATTATTATTACTATCATTACTATTATTATTACTATCATTACTATTATTATTATTACTATTTTAATTCACTAGTTGGGGATTTATTATCTGCATCTCCAATTTATAATTACAGTAGAAGTTCACCTTGAGACCCACAAATTTAACATTTTAACCATTTCCAATGTTATCAGCTGTAGCACATCTACAAATGAGATTTGTAAACAGATTTTTCATATTCTTAAGATTTCAGAGCATATCTGCCTTCCCTACACTTGACAGTTACCAAGCTAAATGAGAAAACAAGGTTTCATGTGACCATGTCTGCTCATGGATAATTTTAGCAGGTATGTGTCCTCATTGACCACACCACCTGAAAAATCCCCCCCCCCATCATACAGCCTGAAAGTTTTTCATAAATCAAGACATTTGGTATGAAAAAAAATCTACCTGGCAAGTTGTACAATCTGACTAAATTTCAGAAACATCTAATGAAGGATGCCATGGCTAACAGTTTAAAATACTTGATGTCAGTATTTGTTTTTGTTTGCAACTAATTGTTTTGCCCCTCCAAAGCATAATTTCTCTTTTTGTTGGTTTAAATTTCATCAAAAATTCAAGACCCTGAATTTAAGATGACCCCCCACAAAAAAGAGGTGAGCCAGGCAGCCAGAGGTGCCATTCTCCAACCAACTTCTATCTTCCCAGTACCCCTTCAAAGCTGCAAGCTCCCAGTAACTCCGTTCTCAAAGCAACCATGGTCTCTGGCGTTGCCTCTGTGCCTCTCTACCAGTCCATCTAGAAAGCAGAAAGGGAGCGCACCCTGTAACTTAGTTACATGGGCTGCTTCCAGCCCCCTTTTCTGCTGATGGAGAGGATGGCCTCTCTCTTACACCATAGTTTCTGGCCAAACCAGAAAGAGTTCATTAATGAAGAAGAAAAAGAAGAAGAGATTGGATTTATACCCCGCCCTTCACTACCCAAAGGAGACTCAGAGCGGCTTACAAACTCCTTTCCCTTCCCCTCCCCACAAAAGACACCCTGTGCGGTAGGTGGGGCTGAGAGAGTCCTTCGAGAACTGCTCTTTTTCAAGAACAGCTCTTATCAGAACTATGGCTTGCCCAAGGTCATCCAGCCAGGTGCAAGTGGAGGAGTGGGGAATCAAACCCGGTTCTCCCAGATTAGAGTCCGCACACTTAACCACTACACCAAACTGGAATTACTGCACAAAGGGCTGTACTGATAGTTACTTCTGCTTGATGGTTATCCCCATCAGACAATGTAAAGAGCCTAGGGACACTCTTTGACCCAGCTCTGATGCTTAAGAAGCAGTTCAGTGCCATGCTGAAAGACATATTTTACCATCAACACATGATGCATCGCCTACCATTGGTGGGCTCTGCTGACCTTGCCACACTGATACACGCACCTTTAACCTCTTGGTTAAATGCTGCAATGTGCTCTATGTGGAACTGTTCTATTAAGAAGGGCATTTGATTAGAAATAGTTATTGATCCCTTGGTTTTAAAGACTGATTTCTCTTGAAGTGTACTTGCTGGGTGGCTTTACTCTCTTGATATATTTTATTTTTATTCACTGCATATTCACTGTATTTTTATTATTTATCTGTGTAAGTGGCCTCAAGACGTCAGGAAAGGGCTGGGTATATATGCATGAATAAAGTAATTCATATTGCTCTTGCAACATAATTGGAACGTTTCTGCACAACAAGGTTCTGACTTCTCACTTGCCTCAGATTCCTCCATCTTGTGAAATACAGTAAAAAAAAACCCAAAACTAGACAAATGTTTCCTACAGTGGCCCATCAGCTGCCCCAGAAAAGATGTAGCAGAGGCACGCAGGCCACAAGCTCCTCCTTGCTGCTATTCCCATGCAACTGGCATTTAGAGGTATACTGCCTCCAAACACTGAGGTCTCATTCAGTCATCATGGCCAGCAGCCACTGAGAGACTTGTGAACCTAGCTAAGCCCCTTTTAAAGCCAAATAGCAACCATCATCACAAGACATGACAGAGAGTGCAACAAGTTAATTTCAAATTGTACTTTCTTTCGTCTGTCCTGAACACAGCACCTATCAATTTCATTGATCCTTGCTACTTTCCAGTCCTGATGATGTGAGTTGGGTGATTTTTAGTGACAAGTTGCATATTATTGTTCAGAATCAGCAGCAGCGTTGGTTTTACACCCCACCCTTCACTACCCGAAGGAGTCTTGGAGCAGCTTACAATCACCTTCCCTTCCTCTCACCACAACAGACACCCTGTGAGGTAGGTGGGGCTCAGAAGAGTTCTGAGAGAGCTGTGACTGATCCAAGGTCACCCAGCTGGCTTCATATGGAGGAGCGGGGAATCAAACCCAGCTCTCCAGATTATAGTCTGCTGCTCTTAACCACTACACCAAGCTGGCTCTTCAGAATTTCATATCTGGGTACTTTTAGAACCTTCAGGAATATGCCATCCACACCCGGTGACTTCTTAGTCTCTGATTTTTCAACTGGCTCTCACCAACTCTATATGACTCTATATGATTCACTTATTCAGTCATTTCCCACAAAAAGCTGTTTTAATGTAGAAAAACAGTCTTCCATTAGAAATTCCTTTCATAATATCTAAGGGTCCAATGAGCTCTCTGCTTCTTTTTATTATTTTTATAATGATTTTATCAAAATGATCTTCACAGGCTTTATTGCCTGCCAGCCTACATTTGTTTACCACAGCCTGTGCTCCTACTTGCTTTCCTTGTTTATACAAGACTGGCACTTTGTAAAAGAACCCTTCTTGCCTTTTATGGTTCCTTTATTCTGCCGGTCAACCAAGTTTATTTATTTATTTCTTCGACTTGCTACCCCGCGCTCTAACCCCCGAAGAGCTGGTGAAACTGCATAGACTGGGACCAGGCAAACACCCCTGCAGCATATCACAACCACACCAGCATCATCAGCAACCACACCATCTCCAGCAACCACACTGTTGTGCACAGAAAATGTCACAGTGGAGCGACAGTGCCAGCGTGATATATGAGAAGAAACAACCAATGACAGGGTAGAAACTAAGGATGCCAGGCAATTCACTCCAGGACTGCCTCCCAGTACTGTATGTTGGTGAGGCTTGCCCTTGGGGCTGCCTAAACTCTCTTAGTATGATTTACCTTTTCTAATCTGTGACATACAATCAATTCTAAGCTTTAATTGCTGTAGATGTAAATAGCTTCCCAAGGAGCCCAAAATGGTGAATGGGAGAACAGAGCCCTGGCAAGAAGATGCTACTGCAGAACAGTCAGGGCATACGCTGGAGGAATCTGCCCCTCACCAAAAATGGAATGAAGCTTCCAGCTCAAGCCCTGACTGAGCAGCAGATGAAAGGATTCGCCCACAGCAGTGCCACTGCCACTGCTGATAGAAAACTGGTCCTCTTTACCTTTTGACTAATCCTCTTACTTTTGAGATGTTGTTTCTTCAGAAATCTAGACTCTAAATTTAGTTCTTCTATTTACGTAACTGTTGTTTAATTGCACTATGGTCACATCTGTTTGAACAATGATTACCTCACTACCAGGTTCTGATCATCACCTGCCATCTAGCCAGTCCTATGAACATTACAGCGCAGGAGAAATTCACTCTCATTGTCATTAGAACTACTCAGTCAGTATGAAGGTAGCTGAAGCCACCTGTTATTAGAACTCAAATAGCAAAGGTTTCTTTTGTTTACTATAGTTGATGGCTTCCATTTTCAACTTTTTATTTTTTCCACTTTTACCCAACATACAGAAATTAAGTTATACTCATCAGCTTACAACTCCATTTCTAATATGGCATAGTTTGCAATATCAGTAATAAAATAAAAGCATTTAAATTTTCATGAACAGAGAACAGTACAATTTTCTACACAAATGGCTTTACATAATATATTCCAAGTAGTTAAAGGAATAAAGCCTAGGTTTGTTTGCTTCTCTGCATGGCTTAATTTCCAGAAATGTTACACATCTAGTGGCATTGGGATATATACAAAACAACATTTGCTACACTTCTGAAAACCAAGACACATCATTTTTTTGGAATTAAAAACTGAAACACATTTTATTGTTATATGTTTAGGATTGACCTTTACCGTGTGTAAGAATAAGCACTGCCCATGGAGGAACCCACCTAGTTTCTGCAAGAGTTACTGTTCTACACGAGCTTCCTCAAGAGAGGATAATTCTGTTTCTTATTTGAATCAAGAATGGTTGGATTGCTCAGTCACGTCCAGTTTAATGACCCCAAAAGAATTTTGCACCCAGAGTGGCAGCTGGCTGAGCCTTCAGGCCAACCCTATGCAGTGTTGCTCCAGGCTAAGTCCAATGAAATCAGAGGGTTAGACTGGAGTGGCTCTGTGTGGGATTGCACTGCTTATCTCATTCCAAACAGTAAATCACACAGAGATTCAGCATGCAACTGCAAGGATGAGTAATTTTGGCTTACAGAAGCCTTTCACTATTTTATTTTTTGCCAAATACTACCATGCCCCTTCACACATACCACTTGAGAATTACTGCTGTAAAACTCTAGATCACTAAAGACAGCTTCTATTCCTCAACAGTACTGTACACAAGTGCACAGTAACATCTGATGTTTAAATAGGCCAGTGTTCTTCTGTTTAAGATATATCATTTATATAGAATAAATTGATGACAACTGCACACACAGTTTTTGGAAAGTAAAAAAATACTTTGAGAGAAAAAGATAACCTCTTACCTGAGCGTGAAAATTTGACATAGTTGTCGTCTCTATATCTTTCTTTCCCAAAATCTCCATTTTCACTGGTGAATTGGGAAAATTAATCGAAAAGTAGTCTAAAAAGTCAGGTAAGTAAGTAGCTGCCCCATGAACAATACCCATTACATAGTAAGCTGCGCAGTTTTCATTTTCACTAAAAACCAGACCCACAAACTCTTCTGCAAATCTCTCCATCTCCACAGGAGACAAGTGGGAGAGTTCATTACTGTAGGCATGGATAACTGAAGCACCTCCATTAGGCTGGTGCTCAACATGAATGAACTGTTTGAACTCCAATGTGTCCAACCTTTTGAGTGTATTCTGAACCCGTGGCTCCTTTAACGAGACAAATGGAAACTCACTGTTCTCTGGTATCTTGCAATCAGAGTCCTTCTTGGGATCCATATTTTTTCCATTGAAATCCTTAAGATGATTATCAACTATGCCTTTGGAATCTTGATCTTCAACTTCAGAAAGCAATCCTGAGCAGATGGTCTGAATAGATTTACTATACATTTTTGGACGCTTCCTTTTCTCACACTCTTTGTGTTTCTTTTTCTTTTTCTTCTTCACTTTTTTAATCTGTAGATCTTCTGCACTGCTTTTTGGTTTCTCCTTCATACCTGTTAAAAAGAAGGAAAGATATTTTTAATTTTTTTCTAAGACTACAAAGGTACTCCAAGAAAAAAAATGCAGCACTGATCTTCACACTCTTGGTGTGAGAACTGAATATGCACTGTCACAGAGTACACCCAATTCCTACTAATAGCACATGCAGCAATGCTAGGTTTTATGCTTGATCATTTATTAAGACTAGCCATGTTAAGAAATTCGTTATGAGCAAGAATGCAGTCTGTTCTTGTGCTCATGCAGCTTTGCTACATCCTACCCTCATGCGTGGAGCATGACTGAAGTCTTCTAATGGTTTAGAAAGCCTCAGATCAAGCTCCAATTTGTCACAATATCCAAATGCAGGTGCCTGGACAAGTGAGAGATTATTTCCTTAGTATAACCTAAGTTAAAAATTTCAATTTGTGGAAGAATAAGCAAGTTCCAGTTTATTCAAGCACCTACACTTGGCAGCATGGCAAACTGGCGCTTGATTCAAGGCTTCTCAAATTGGGAAGATTCCAATCATGCACCATGCACGAAAAGAGGAGGGCACATGAGCACAAGCATTGTTAGAGCCCATCACAGGCAAAGGTTTGTCACAATATCTATATCAAGTACAGCACAGCAATTCAAGCTCAGCTACTATACTAGCCGATGGACTGTATATTGGAGATAAGAGGAAAGACTCAGCAGATGCAAGAAGAACAAAATTCATCTTGACTTACTGAGGGGTTAAAGAAGTTCATGGGAAAATGGACATCTACGGTTCATTATTTACAATCAGCACAAATGTATTAAATCCATACGGTGGCCGATGTGAGCAGAGACACTTCAGCTTGGACAAAGGAGAATCTGCAATTTCCAGCAAATTCCTCTTCCTGATTCAGTGGTCCATGCCATGTTCCACATCAAGCTAGAAAGGCCCCTGAACCTCAGGTGAGGCTTTGAAAAGCCAAAGCAGATAGTGAAACCCCGTTCTGCAAACAGAACTGTGCTCACAGTTCATCAGATCCCACCCACTACAGCACAGCTAATAGTGATGCAGCTCATTAATCTGACAAAAACATTAGAAGCCAATATGTCACAGACTGCCCATGGAAACTCAAATTTTCACAGACTGCCCATGGAAACTCAAATTTTCAATCAAATGATACCACCATACTCTTCTATCCTCTCCTGGGAGAATGGTTTCTCAACTTCAGGTTTATGGAAATCTGAGAAGTCCTACTCTGCTTGCTAGTTGCTCAAATAATTTGCTCCCTACTGGCCACATCATGCATGCTGATTTGATGCACAAGAACCTTTTCCCATTTGTCAGCACCATCTGGAACTGCCTCAACCAACAAAAAGAAACTGCCTGACAAATTACTCCTCTCTACCTTTCTTCTGGGTCTGGCTAACTGGAACTCAAATTCTATGTTGGGTCCAAATTTAAAGTTTACAGACTGACATCCTTACTCCTTAACAAGATCCAAAGAAACTCAAACTCAACTGTTGATTAAACATATAACATTCTACGAAACAGTCCAGGCTTTTATACTGAATCAATCAAAATATAACTGAATTTACAAAATATGTTGTCTTGAGCTTTGCTAAGTGTCTACTCACAGAGCCAGAGCCAATCCTGATTCCTCTATGACATGTGTGTTAAACATGCAGCCCACAGGCCGGAACCAGTCCCTGCAGGGCTCCTATCCGGCCCACAAGCAACTAGCTTGTCTGCTTCCCACTTCCTGCATCGCAGCTTGCTTTTGCCCAGCTCTCTCCTCTCCTGCTTTCTGTTTCACAGAGGAGAGAAGAAAGCCAAGTCTCCCTTCCCTCGATTGGCTGAGGGCCCCTCCTCTTCTGGGATGAAAGTGGAAGGGAGAGAGCCAGAGAGAGAAACTCCTGAGGACCAACAAAATTTTATTCCAGGTACAAGCTTTTGTGTATGCACAGACTTCTTCAGAGAGGGAGGCAGGGAGAGAGAGGGTGTGAAAGAGCCAGAGAAGAAGGGGGGGAGGAGAGAGATCCCCCTTTCCAGTTCTAACAGATGGGTGGGGGGGAAAAACCTAACAACACAGCTTGCAATCTTTATTAGGGGAAGGGACCAAGAGTCAAGTATCACCTTAACAACTAGCAAAATTTTTGACAGGGCATGAGCCACTTGCTAACTTCAGATACAGCTAGAATGTGAGTCCATCTGTCCTTATATCTTGGACAGTGAAGTGGTTTCAGACCCCAAATGACAATAGCAGGCATTGGAAAAGAAAGAAGAAACCTAGGTCTCAATTTAGTTCAGGAGGATGCACTTTCTTTATCCTTATTATCAGTTGCAATTCAGCAGTCTTTCTAATCTTCCTTTGAAACTCCTTTGTAAGAGAACCACTACTTTTAGGTCAGCAACTGAATGTCCTGCAAGGTTAAAATGTTCCCCCACTGGTTTTTGAATGTTGTGGTTTCTAATAGCAGTAGAAAGAGTAAGTGCCCAGTAGCACCTTAAAGACTAACAAAATTTGTGGTAAGGTATGAGCTTTCGTGAGTCAATGCCCACTTCTTCAGATAGATCAAGATGGGTAGCCATGTTAGTCTTTCTGTAGCAGTAGAAAAGAGCAAGAGTCCAATAGCACCTTAAAGATTAACAACATTTGTGGTAAGGGCTGAGCTTTCATGAGTCACTGATCACTTCTGTAGACTTATTTCCATTTATTCTTTGCATCCTCCTGGAATGAATCCTCCTGGACCAAAATGAGACCTAGGCTTCCTGTCTCATTACCCATGCTGATAATTCCACACCTACTACCCCTCTGTATATCACACCTAATCCCATCAAGTCTGCTATTGCCATTCAGCATCTGAAATAATCTTTATAAAGTTTATATCTCTGGTACTTCATGTTACATTTCATGGCACACATTGCCCGGCCCAACAAAGTGACATTTATGTCAGATCCAGCCCTTGTAACAAATTAGTTTGACACCTCTGCTCTATGAGGACCAAAATGTCAACTGCATGTTCGTATTTTTAGTTCTTCTCAATTTATACTATACTTGTATTATGCTTTTACTGCTATGTATGCTGTGTTTTGCTTTAGGTACCACTATATCAAAGGAATAAAGGCAAACAAGCAAGCATGTCCAAATCTTAAGATACAAGAAATCTATGTGAAGAGGGAGATTCCTCTGCACAACTGTTTGAAAAGACATATGTGGGATTAGTGAGACGATAAAGGAGTCAAAACATCTTTAAAAAGACTAGCCTATCTTTAGCTATGCTTGTACAGCCTACAAAGGATTAGAAAAACAGGTTGCTTACCTGTAACTGATGATCTTCAAGTGGTCATCTGTGCTTCACACCCATGGGATTCAGTGCGCACGCACTGGTTCGATCGGTATTGTAGCAAGCTCTTTAACGGATTTTCTCACCCAGACCTCGGGCATGCGCAGGAACTCCACCACGCATGCCCAGAGGGGCGGGCGCGGACATCCCGCCAGTTCCTTAAAACCACCGCGAATCAACCCCTATTGAAAATGTAGAAGCTGACAGCAGCAGGGAAGGAGGGCGGGTGGTGTGAATGCACAGATGACCACTCGAAGATCATCAGTTACAGGTAAGCAACCTGTTTATCTTCGACGTGGTCTCTGTGCTTCACACCCATGGGAGATTAGCGAGCAGTGGCCTACCCGGAGGAGGGTGCTGGCAGGTCCTTACTGCGTAGCCGAAGATAGAATGTGACGTCCCATGTTGGTATTAGAGTTCTTCCGGACGTCTAGGGCGTAGTGCCTTATGAATGTGTTAGGCGTGGCCCACGTAGCGGCTTTGCAAATGTCCGTTAACGGAACTCCCTGGAGGAAGGCCGTGGAGGCTGCAACAGCTTGTGTTGAATGGGACCTGATAGGGCCAGGCAATGGCTGTTTGGCGATCAGATAGCAGAGGTGGATGAGACCCGCAATCCACTTTGAGAGGCGCTGAGCCGTGATGCAAGTCCCCAACCTTGCTGGTGCGTACAAGACTAACAGTTGGGAGTCACGTCTCGCTGGGCGGGTTCTGTTCAGGTAGAACAGGCGCACGCGCTTCACATATAAAGTGTGTAACAGTCTGTCCTCTGAGGATGTCGGAGCTGGAAAGAAATCCGGGAGGAAGACCTCTGCCTGTAGGTGGAATTCTGACACTACCTTTGGCAGGAACAAGATGTCAGGTACGAGGCGGACACCATCTGGCAAAAAGGACAAGTAAGGCATGTCATGTCTGGAAGCCAGTATTTCTCCAACTCGCCTCGCAGAGGTGACAGCAACCAGAAAGGCCTTCTTCCACAACAGGAATTTCATGTCTCAAGTTGCGAGTGGCTCCAAGGGTTTCCTTGTGAGCTGACGAAGAACTAGAGGAAGGTCCCAGGGAACGACAGGATTTTTGACAGGAGGGTAGAGATGCAATAAACCTTTTAAAAAATGTTTTGAAAGCGGATGTGAAAACAGTGCGCATTCGTCAACTTGAACATGGTAGGTCGAATGTGCGGCCAAATAAACTCGTAACGAGGAGTGAGAGAGTCCCGAGTCAGCGAGGGACAGGAGGAATTGGAAAACTTTCTCGAGACCCACGAAGGTGGCTCGAGGAGCATCGTCACCCAAGTGGTAGACCCCTGCTGACAATTCGAGGATGGTCGAGAAAAACAGGTTGCTTACCAGTAACTGGTGATCTTCGGTACGAGGCGGACACCATCTGGCAAAAAGGACAAGTAAGGCATGTCATGTCTGGAAGCCAGTATTTCTCCAACTCGCCTCGCAGAGGTGACAGCAACCAGAAAGGCCTTCTTCCACAACAGGAATTTCATGTCTCAAGTTGCGAGTGGCTCAAAGGGTTTCCTTGTGAGCTGACGAAGAACTAGAGGAAGGTCCCAGGGAACGACAGGATTTTTGACAGGAGGGTAGAGATGCAATAAACCTTTTAAAAAATGTTTTGAAAGCGGATGTGAAAACAGTGCGCATTCGTCAACTTGAACATGGTAGGTCGAATGTGCGGCCAAATAAACTCG